TCTAGAATTTTAAACCTTTCTTTTTTTATTAAGTACGGTTATCATCAGCACTAATGACCTTCTACCAGAAGGTTATGGTTGATAAGGCAGTTTCCTACAATTTCGAGAGAAATCTATAAAATATAGTGTTCATGACGGTAACTATTATGTTTTTTTCCTTTTGGTAGCAGGACGAAGACTAAAAACCTTCAAAAACTCCGTTCCATTCAAGTTTTTGTTCTCGAGTTATGGTCATTTTACTGAACTCTGATAATTCTTATAATATCCTGAAAGTTCAGTTGAAACAGATGATTTCCTCTTCAGATATCGTCTGCCTTAAAACTGGACTATTTTTTGAGCACTTATGTGAAAGAAACCTTTTTTCTCCAAACGTATTATCTCCGAAAAAAAATATGTTTGAGCTGAAACTTTTAATATATCATAAACGTCATGAGTTCTCTCATTGGAGAGAATTTTTGGTCGAAACTTCTTGTTTCGATTTCTCCCGTGATATACTGCAATAGATTGAAAATTCAGTAAGATGACCATAACTCGAGATGAAAGTCTAATCGCATGGACCTTTTCACGATGGTTACCTACACTATGAATTCTAAATATGAGCTGGAACGGAAAATATTAGTCTCACAAATTTCATCATAAGGTATAATCGTTTAAGTTAAAATTGAACATTCGAATATTTAATTCTGAAGAAACAACAATGAGTCAGTTTAGAGACAATCAATATATTCCCAAGTCAGTCCGTGCGCTATCGGTACGGGGTACGGTACGTTTGTGCGCGAGACATTAGGCGTGACGTCTCGCGCACCAAGGGCGCACGGACTGTACTGGGTTGGTGCGCGCACACGTACGTACGCGTGACAAAACATGCGCGTACCGAGCGTCTCGCACGTCACGCGCACGTGTGACGTGTACGGTACGCGTACCAATGGCATACGGGCTGACTTGGGTTTTTTGTACTATTCTTTTGTAATCACTAATATATACCAAAATAGTTGAAGAATGGACATTAGTGCCATCTATACTTATTGAAATGTTCATTTAAAACTACTCGTGAAAAATTCTCAATAAAAATACTTTTAATAACTCGATAAATAATTCAATAATTTAAAATATTTTTTTTTCTGCAAAACAAAAAAACTGCGGGTTCTTTGTGTTTCAATACAAAAGTCTTTGTTCTGTTTTTGCTCAATCATTGTTCTATTTTCTTTCTTTCATTGTCACAGTCATGGATTCCACCAATATTATCATCCCATTTGATTTTCCATTTGCTATTTTGGGTAAAATACTCATCAACAATTGTTTTCTTTTTGTAAATAAATTTCTTCTATAGAACATCGTAATAATCCTGATCCGAATAATAAACTTGTTTATGCCGTTGCTGATGGTCAATATACTTATGGACCACTTTCATTATTTCAATATCATAATGATGAAAAATATTCTAAAACGTATGTTAGATTAATTATTCGGTAGAGAGAATGACGTTGTTTTTCTTCTGTTTAGAATTCGTGATGAAAAATTACCAGCATCATTATCATGCAAAGTAAATACGAATAAAGAAATTTTTTTTTTTAATTTTGTTTCTTATTTTGTGACCAAAGGAATTTTATATAGTTGAATCTGATGTTTCAACTGATGATGCAATTGAAATAAATGATAATAATCGAGGTCGTATTTATGTTAAAGAAATTGATCATGAATCACCAGAAAGTTAGTTGATTATGATTTTTTTTTTGTATCTGAATATATAAAAATTATTAAAAATATTTAGTTCAAATCAAAGGACTTTTACAAGAAATGATTGAATGTAAAAATGAACTTCGAAGTCTTAAATCAATTGTAAGACAAATTATTTTGAAAAAAAAGAAAATAAATATTCTTCTGTAGGTTTTATCGGAAGACCGAATTACACAACAATCATCTTCAAATATTAATAATTGTTCATTAAATACGAGCTATCAATCTGCTAATGGTGATTTATTAACACCATTACGTAATAAAAAACAAATCCAATCAACTATAGTTCAACGAAGTGTTTCAACAATCGTTAAGAAAAATGTTAATACACCACCTCGAAGTCAATCAGTAACAACAACAAGAATTCTTTTAAAAAATGTTAAATCATCTGGTTATGGACAATATCAATCACCATCAACAAAACGATCATTATCTACTTTCGGTACACCAGAACGTTCGTTTCATAAATAAATTTTATTTGTATTTATGTTTTATAAATTTGTTTTGTGTACATTTTATATTAATTCGAAAAATGTATGTTGTATATGCAAATAAATACTAAATTTCACTAGGAAAAATTATATTTCTTTAACCCTTCAACCATGTTATGGCGTCCAAGTGAACCCATTTTGATAGTTTTTCGTGTTGTACTAATTTAATATTTTTGTTATTTCGGATCATTCCTCTTCTCTAATCTCTAGTCTTTAGTAGAAGCATAATATTCTTATCAAATATCACAAATAAGTCTTGAAGGAAAAAAACACAACTGTGGGTCCACATGGATTTTAGAACATCGATGATGTTATAGGCATATATTTTCGTCTTTTTGATGCTGCCATCTGTTGTCTTCCGATTGTTTTTCCAAATTGATTCTCGTTTGTACATTCATCATTAATAGTAATGATTCACATTTTCTTTATACAGTGTGAGATTTGTGATTGCTTTTGGATCAAAATCAAGTTACATCGTGTTTGTCGATTCATCCAAATTGAGTGAATTTTAAACTATTAGTCAGAGTGTGGGTATTGGTGTGAATGGCAAAGCAAAAATGAATTACACATACAGATAAGGCCACATATCCACTCACACTTATACCCGTCTGTCTTTCTCATTCCTAAACAATTACAATGACAACTTGCCAGACATGTGAAGAAAAGAATTAGGAAAGATTGTATTCACGGAAGAAAATCAAACAGGAATAACTCCATCATTCTGCAAAAAAAAACTACAATTTTAAAGTTTTTTAAACACGGAGAAAAAGAAAAAGGTGAAAATAAATATAATTAAAAAGAAAAGTTTCTTCTCTTCTTATCTATAGACTATTGTATATGTGAATGTATCAGTATAGTTCTACCATGCTAGACTGACATGATTGGATCTATCATTCCTTTTAAGTTATACTTCAATGCTGCTATGCAAAAAAACTCCAGACAATCTTCTTGTTCGACATTTTATATCTTTATATTGCCTCTATGGAAAGTGATACATATGCCGTTATAAAAAAAAGTATTTAGAGGTCTATAGTATATATAGAAGAATAGCTTAAATAAAAGTATCGATTTTTTGTAATTTTTTATAGATGGATACAGGCGGACTCCAGGACAGCGATGAAGTTCTAAAATGAGGACCCCGTCGAAGGGTTAATTGATCGACTGTTTTGGTGGATTGCACAACTAATCATATATATGAATGCCTATCATTTACCATAAACTCTGATGTCCTCAATCTACCGCTAAAAAACTTCACATTTGTGGCAAAATAAACACTTACGAGGGAAGGTCACCAACTGTTCAATCGGTTTTGCGTTGAAACTATTTGCATTAGGCAGCTCCAAGGTAGTTATTAATACTCTGGAAAATTTTTTGGCAGCTAGCTTATGTTACAAAAATATTCCATTTGTAAGGTGTGGTTTTTAATGAGTCCTGTGATTCCCCTCAGAAATATCAGAAAAATTGATTTTCGAATTTCGACTTAAAACTTTACATAGAAACGGGTACCGATGAGAACAGCCTTTTCTGGATGTTTCTGATCTTACTATTGTTCCTATTGTCAGACGCGGCTATTGTGAAAATGTGTATTTTACATCGTTCAATCAGACCAGCAAATTTGATGAAACAAACAAATCAAGAGACCTAAAACTTTCACAAAATATTATTCACCTTGAGGCCTGTTTCTATGTCAAGTTTCAAGTCAAAATTCGAAAATCAATTTTTCTGATGTTCTTGAGGGGGATCACAGGACTCATTAAAAACTACACCTTACAAATGGAATATTTTTGTAATAATAAGCTAGATGCCAAAAATTTTTTCAGAGTATTTACGAGTCCTTTGTAGCTACATGATTCAAATAGTTTCAACGCAAAAGTGATTGAACAGTTGGTGACTTTCCCTCGTTAGTCTAGTTTGATGCCTATGTAGCGGCTCCATTTTAAGGATTTTTCTACATAAAATATATTATTCATAGGTGAGTCACAAATCAAAGTTTTATGAGTTCGTTCCTTATTGAGAACTAGATATGATGACTATATAGTTTATTTTCTTAGAATTGGTACTGGTGACCAGTTTTTGTGAAAACAACTATAACCGAAGACCCCTTCTTTCTGAAAAATAGTCTAACAGAAGACCATAATTATTAAAAGAACATTCACTTGTGACCAGTTCTTTTGTTTTGATTCCTGGAACAAGTATGCGATTTCATAACTAGACTAATATTGCTGATGCAACGGGTTCATTCGAAGAGAACTGGTCATTATTACCAATTCTAAGAAAAATAACTAGTGATTGCACCGAGTTCTCGAAAGGAAAGGACTCATAAAACTGAGCTGGTCTGACCTACGTATAATATATTACATGTTGACTATTCCCTAAGTCAAAAAAGTCCCTAAATTGAGGTTCCTACTTGGCCATCAAACTAGACTAAGTGTTTGTATTGCCACAAATGTGAATTTCTTTTGAATTTTATTAACGTACTTCGATATTTAGATGGTTTTTTATGCTAGTGAATGTTTAACTAGATTGTTGA